CCGGGGCCCGGGGATTGGTCCGGCTGCCTCCCATACGGACGAACGCGCCCTCCGATTGGTCCGTGCCACGCCGAAAGGCGGGCATCCCTACGGCTTTTGGGGCGTGGTCGGAGCCGAAAGAGGCGGGACCTTGGGGGTGGAGGCGCTTCTCATTGGACGCTCCGGCTGAGGTTCTTTCTTTCAGAATGAAAGGGAGGCGGGGTCGTCGGGGAGGCGGAGTGGCCGTCCGCCATGACCAATTATAATTGCTCCGGGATCACGTCAATCACGGCGAAAGTGTCTGGGATTGGGGGTTTTGCGAAAGGGGGCGGGACTAGAAGTGCCAGGTGTACAAAAAGTCGCCCTGGATTCCCAGATGGGACCAACCTGTGAGACCTGGGGCTCTGCGCTTTGCGCTCCGTGTTGCTCGAAAGCTGGGGAAGGCCGATGAGAGGTTCACCTGCCGCTCGACCTGTGTTGAGGGAGGCAGCTGTTCCTAAACCATTTTCCTTCCAGGAACGGGGAGGGGGATGGGCCGTACATTTCAGACAAATGCGCCCTTTGAGAGCGGCCTGGGCTCTGGCTGCTTCCCCGGAGCTGGCGAACCACCAGAATCACCGCAGTGACGGAGCGCGGGGCCTGGCGCTGCTGGGTCAGAGCTGGAACCTGCACTGGACCCGGTGCCAGTTGACCAGTCGAATAACCTCTTCAGCAGCCCCTCCCCCTCCCCCACCTGTTTTGTTTTAAGTTTATGTTGTTATTGATTTTTTAGAGAGAGAGGGAGGGAGAGACAGAAACATCAATGATGAGAGAAACATCACTGATGGTCTGCCCCCTGCACACCCTCTACCTGAGACCAGGCCTGCAACCCGGGGGAATTGAACCAGTGACCTCTTGGTTGGTCGACACTCAACCAACTGGGCTACACCGGGGTGGTAGCAACTACCTCGCATGGCTTGAAGCGATAAACAGGACATGAACTTGCACAACCCGGAGCAGGTGCCGGGATCCAAGTTCATTCCTGCTAAGCGTTGGCCCATCTTCTTACAGAGTCTTCGTGTGAGTCAAGCTCCTGAGAAACGCAGTGCCTCTTCACCTCCAGGGGGCTGGCCGGATTTGGGAGCCTGGGTCTGTTAAAGATAAACTGCGGCGTACTCAGCATTTTAAGAGTCTGAGCACAAATGGATCCCCGTCGGGCAGTGCCAGACTGAATAGAAGCTCTGCCCCAGGACGGGCGCAGGACAGACTTCATAGAGCAGCGGTTCTCAACCTGTGGGTCGCGACCCCTTTGGCGGTCGAACGACCCTTTCACGGGGGTCGCCTAAGACCATCCTGCATATCAGATATTTACATGACGATTCCTAACAGTAGCAACATGACAGTTATGAAGTAGCAACGAAAATAATTTTCTGGTTGGGGGTCACAACATGAGGAACTGTATTTAAAGGGCCAGAAGGTTGAGAACCACTGTAGCGCGGGCCAGAGAAAGGGGGCTGTGTGATTGGCGACAGCTTGGAAACCAGCGGGTTGTTTGTGACTGGTTGTCCTTCGTGTTCTGATCTTGTAACCTGGAGGCATTCACAGGCGGAGATTCTGGTTTTCCTACCAAGGCCGCCTCAGCCTCGGGGCCACCTTGTCGGATTAATTGAACGGGCCTGAAAGATCATCCTGTCCACCCCCTCGCCATGAACAGGTGTGTGAAGTAAAGACCAGCGCAGAGGACTTAGCCGAGGTTCCATCACGGGCCGTTAGGACCCTGCCCTCTCCACCCTGCGCTCACTGCACGGTGGGGTGGGAGCACCAGGAAACATCAGTGGGTGGGATCTCACGCGGTTGTACAGAAGCTTTTTGCATAGTTATGGAAATGCCAGGCGCGGAGGGCTGCGGGAGAGGAAGCTGAACAGATAAAA